ACGAGGTCAAGAGATCGAGACCATTCTGGTCAACATGGTGAAACCCTGTCTCTACTAAAAATACAAAAATCAGCTGGGCATGGTGGCGCGTGCCTGTAGTCCCAGCTACTCGGGAGGCTGGGGCAGGAGAATTGCTTGAACCCGGGAGGTGGAGGTTGCAGTGAGTCGAGATCACGCCACTGCACTCCAGCCTGGCGCCTGGTGACGGAACAACACTATGTCTCAAAAAAAAAAAAAAAAAAAAAATGGAGGCAAACAACAATAATTGGACATTCTTGTAATTTAGATTCTGCTTAATCGAGACCTCTGAACTCCTTGCCTTAGCCAGCAGTGATATCTTGCTCTCTGGGGTGACTGATTGGAATCCAGCCTCCACCAATAGACTGTGGCCAAAATTCCTCTGATGTACAGCATGGTAACAGTGGCTGCCATTCTGGTGTTTTTGTGTCTCTGCAGTGCACACTGTAGGAGACTTTCACATAAAATGCCCTCATGATCATAGTGGAGATCATTAGTTTTATGTACGGAAGATAAAAGAGGGCAAAAGAACAAGATGGAAAAGAGATACAAGAGCCAAGGAGGAGAAAGTAGCAACTCCCTAGGCTTGTTAATCCAATGATGTGACTAGGATGTTCATTCATCATCAGTAGGGCCTGTGTGAGAAAGCTCAGCACTCTTCATATTGACCTCATTAATTGTCCTGCCCCTGATTCTGATGATTTCGGAAAAAAAAACAGAGAGCAATTTATTTTGTCAGTTTGGAGTTGGCTGATTTGCATAAACAATATAATTGCATTATTCCCAAAAATGAGAGGTTCTTTTGGAAAATGAATGACAAGCAAATGTTCTACTGAATCATAAATGTTCTTCGCAAGGGGATACAATAGGAACTGTCTTCACATGGAAACCAAGTTAGCTGAATACTTTTGGCTTACACTGTGAACACTTCCTTCAAAAACAAGCCTATTTTTCCCCTAATCTTCGTATATAATTTCTACTAATAAATATTTATTATGCGTTACATCTACATGGAAAAATTGCCTCCTACACAAGCCTCACCTTCCATCCAGGTCCAAACCTCTCCCCACCAATGTTATCATTATACTTGGGATTCCAGCTGCCTTGTGTTGTGAAGATTTCATGCAAATATGAACCAAAGGGAGAAACACATAAAATGCTGCCATTTTTTTCTTCCCATTTCCCCAAGTTAAATAACAGTTTATTCTGCAGGCTTTCAAATCACTCCCACAAAATTGGCAATCCAATACAATTGACACATTCATGCTAATCCACCGAGAAGTAAATACACTATGGTGAAACTGTGACATTTGCAAAGACCATAGCTTCCAAATTACTGAAGAATTAACTAGGGATATAATGAGGGAGGACCAAGTGGGATTCAGGGTGGAGGGAAGCCAGCTTGCCATTCTGTGTCTAATCCTTAAGCAGAAACTTTCTATACATTTGAGAACTTAAAAGAGAAGTGTAACTAACTTTGACATTTGCTGCAAATAAAAATATTGCACCACATTTTCTTGGTTTCCTAAGAACCTGACAAAATGCCCCTAAAGGGTGCTGGCTTAGTGATTTTTCTGGATTTAGCCAACACTTGGACATGCTTGAACCCTTGCAGAAATGTCTGTGTCATGAAACCACAGTCCATTGGGTCCAAGATTTGTTGGCTCTTCATGAAAAGAAAGGAGGATTAGCCTTTTAGCCCACTTGGCTTTTCTTGGATTCTGGAACCGGGGTCAGCAGACCTACAGTTGAGTCCCAGCTTTACTCTCATACCAATAATGGCATGAAGAAGAACCAATTTGTTCAGCACTCTACGAATTACTGGAGTTTTTATGTGCGTTTTAGCCTCACAGTGACCCTCTGAGGCAATGAAGACACTCGTTAAAGTCAGTCTTGTTTTATAGATGAGGAAGCCAAGGTTCAAGAAGGTTGTTAGTTACCTGCGATCTTGCAGTAACAACTTTCAGCTTGTAGCAAACAAGCCAAGGCAGAGGTCCAGAGAAGGTAGGTGCTTCACCTGGCATCACCCAGCAAGTCCAATGATGGAAAGGGCATAATTAGTCTGGAATTTCCAGCTCATTGCTTAGGTCACTGGACCATGCTGTCTCTGTGCATCCAGGCTGCCCTGGGAGGTGAGCCACGTCACATTTCATCCCTTAGGCCAGGAAATCATTACTGTGTCCTGATTGGGTCAAAGTGAGCACCACCACTGTAGATAGGTAGTCAAGAGGGGAAATCAGATGCTAATGATTTTCTCTGCTGTTACAAGAGCATCTCCCGTCCCTATAAATAGATGACTTGGATAGACTGCTCTGCAGTCGTCATAAATCGTCATGATAAATAAAGACTTGCCACCACTTTAATCTCTGATCCCAGTCCACCCACAGGCCTCAGGAAAATGCCTGACTGAACAGACAGCATCACAGATTTCAGCCTGTGTCCGATCAGGAGGGGAAGAACATTCTGGAGGTGTGGGCCCTGTGGGAGAAGCCCAGGCTGCTCTTGGGTTGCACACACGCAGCCTGGGGTCAGGACCTTGCTTTGCCAAGAGAGCTTTGGACCTCCAAACACGGTAGTGGGGACTCAGGAGGAACATTTTTCCCTCTTTCACCGAACACGCAAATGTAACAAATTTTATTGAGCAAATATTGAGCGGAGGACCAAATCCAAATACCTAACAAGTGATGCAGAACTCCATGTGCTGAACCTTCTTCTTCCAGGATATGAAATTCAGTTACAATTTTAAATTGCAGTGGGAAAAGAAATCTGTTTTTTGAAGACAGGGAGAAAAGAGAAGGAAGACATTATTAAAAATAGTTATTGATGTTATGTTTGTTAAAAGCACCATTTACACATTTGAACTCACTTGGTTTAGAAAGAAAGGATGCATTTCATTTGTTTATAAAATTGTCATGTTTTGTGTGTACCTGGATATAAAATCCCAAAGTGAAAAAACGCAGAAGGATAAGGGACAAAGGCCCCCCACCCCAGAAAAGTCTTTAGAATTAAGTGTCTTTTTCTGTTTTATTTTGCTTTTTTTATTCAACAAATTAATTTATTATTTTTTTGTAGTTTTTAATTCAGTGTAACAAAGATCATTGAAAAAAATATAATTGCTAGGAAGAAAAAAAAACCCAAAACAAAAAGATACCCAAACTAGGAAGCTTAGAATATGAAATCTGTGCAGAACTTAGACTCCTTCCCCAAATTCATCCAATTAAAACCACCTCATATTATTCTTTTACTTTCCAGCATTTTATATTTAATTTTCCTTTACTTTATTATTATTTATCTAATGACTCCATAATTTTTATGGTGTTTTCCCCTAACAAATTCACATCTATGTGGCTGGAAGAACCTATTGCCTTTAGTTGCCTTCAGGGAGATTGTGCCTTTTGTCGCGTTTAAACCTCCAGTCTCTCCATCACAGAGGAGCTCACTGGGGACACGTTATATTTAAGTTTCTTGGGCAAATTCACACCTGTGTTGCACAGGAGCTTTCTCAGATTTCCTTTTGGGGTTGTGTCAATATGTGGGAGGAGGAAAGAAGAGGAGCTGGAACTCCAGATTAGGATAAATGTCATTATTCTAACCTGGATTAGGATAACTAAACCCATTTAGTTTCTGCTGCTCATTAATGAGCAATGTCTAGTATTTGACATGCCTGCCAGGTAGATATGAGAAGTAGGGATTTTTTTTTTTTTAGAAAGGAAAGATAAAATAATTAAAAAAAAAAAGATAGCATAAGAAAACCAAAGCTTTCATTTTACTGAATTAAACTTTGAATCATGTGCATGTGTATTTTCTCTCTCTGTGTGTCTGTTTAATTTTCAATCAATTTTGAGTAAATATTTACAGAACCCCTATTATGCATTAGGCCCAACGGTTTGTGCTGGGATTTTAGAAATGAATGAAACAATATTTTCTCTCATCCAGTTCAAAGTTAGCAGAAGAAGCAAAAACATGGTCCCCAGAGTGCCTTAAAGATTGCTGTTGCACAAAGTAATAATAGTAAGAATGAGAAAAACAACAAAGCTTTCAACAAAATTTTATTTAATATTCTGTGTGTGTTCTTTCATTTAATCCCCATAACAGCTCTTCAAGGGGAATGCTATTACCCCATTTTACAGAATAGAACCAGGCACAGAGAGGATAATAACTTGTTCAAAGTCACAAGGCTAGTAAGTGGCAGAATCCAATTTCAGAGTCTATACTTTTTAACACCCTTCCCAGTGATTTTGATCTATCCTAAAGCTCAAGTGCTTTGGAACCATGCATGGGCATTGTTTTGAATTTTATACATTTCACCTGTCCAAGGTTCTTAATAAGTGAAAGAAGGAAGAGCCCCATGAAAAGACTTTATGATGAGGGAGAGGGATCATGGGAGGATACCTCAAGAAGTAAGGTCAGCATTTTGGTATTCCCATTTTTTTTGCCTTATCAGAAAGCTGTTGGTAGTCTTTAAAACAATAAAGTGTAGCAACATGGAGATGCATATGCTATTAGCCAGGAATGGTGGTGGGCACCTGTAATCCCAGCTACTTGGGAGGCTGAGGCAGGAGAATCACTTGAACCCAGGAGGCATAGGAGCCTGGGCAACAGAGTGAGATTCTGTCTAAAAGAGGAAAAAGAGAAAAGAGAAAAAAGCCAGAACGCAAAACGATATGACTGCTGTGATTCAACGATGTAATAGTACATCTGCATATGGACTGGGAACATCTAGACAAATGAAAACATAATAGGTTACAGTGATGGGATTATAGGTGGTTTAAACAAACAAGTCTTTACAGTAATTGATTTTTGCTATTAATGTCAAAATGTTTGTGCAGTGAATTTTTAAAAAACAACCAAATTGTTTACCAGTAGATGGGAGCAGTCCATCGGTCTCTTGCTTTAGGGAGCACATTATCCTGCTGTTCATTTGCATCCCTGACCTGGAAGCCAATACAATGTAAGCACACATGTCCTCTCTCTCCTCATAGGGGTGTCCAAGCTTGTAGGTGCATCACTGGTGAGGCAGCTGCAGGCACTACCGGACCATGGGAGGAGCAGCTTCTGGGCTACAGGTAACTGTCCAAAGCAGGGCCACTGGAACGTTGAAGCCCCAAAAAGAAGATGAAACTTGGGGACAGGCAGAGGTAGGGAAGGCAGCAGAAACTGGTATTCGATTTGTTTCTATAAACATTGCCCACGATATAGGACACATGGTTTTAATGATTGTACAAGAAATGCCTGTTAAAGAGAACTGGTACTTCTTGTTCCAGACCCATGCATTTGCCACTCAAAATATTCATAACCCTGACAGTGATATTAATAACAACTAATTGTACAGTATCTGGGCCAGGCATTTCTTACACATTATTTTAATTTCAATCATGCCCTAAGGTGCATATCCCCACCCCCATTCCAAAGATGTAGAAATGGTCTTTGAGAGTTTAAGCAACGTATTCAAGGTCACGTAGGAATTAAATGGAGATTTTGGGATGGTTTGATAACCCCAAAGTTCATGCCCTCTGACAATGGCTGCGGTTGGTTATAGCGTCTTCAAGTATCTGATGTAAGTTGTAAGATCTTAGAAGAAAGGGAGCCCCAAAGAAGAGTGGTGGGGTGCAAGGAGGATGAGAAAGCATAAATGAAAATGAAGAGGGAGAGCCAGCCTGTTGAAGGTGAAAGGCAGAAGGAGGGAACATGGACCGTGTGTGTTGGTGTGGGGTGGAGTTGGCTAAGCAGGCATGGCAGTATCTTGGGTAGAGGCTTGAAAACCAGGCCAGAGAATCTGAGTATGAAACTTGTTTTGAATATGAGATTAAGCTTTCTAAATTAATTGGAGGATGCTAGAAATGGAATTTTGGTTGGAAAAATCAGTTCGCAGTGTAGCCATACTGTAAGTGCTTAGAAAAGAGTTATTCATTGACTACTTCAAGATCCATTTATAATCATGGGTTCCCAGATTCCTCTACTGTTTCAATTGCTCCCTTCAGGTCTCATTGCTACTACATATGTGCAAGAACTCCCCTTGGGAAGGAGTTCAAAGATCTCAAGTATAGGACCTCATGTTGGTTAAGTCTAGAAAAACAGGAAATAAAGCAATTTATCCACCTACAATGTGTAAACATTGTTCTAGGCAAGGTTGAGAAAAAGACATAATATAGAAAAAATATACCTAATGGTATTGGGACATGTTAATATTTGATGTCATAGTCACACAATGAAGAGGGAGAGCCAGCCTGTTGAAGGGGAAACACAGAAGGAGGGAATACGGACACTGTGTGTTGGTGCAGGGTGGTGTTGGCTAGGCAGGCATGGCAGTATCTTGGGTAAAGGCTTTCTGTTGATATAAATTAACATGAAGAGTGGCTCATGTGATGAGGTGGAATGAAGAAATATCAAAAGAGTGTCTAGAGGCCAGGCGTGGTGGCTCATGCTTGTAATCCTAGCACTTTGGGAGTCCGAGGCAGGTGGATTGCTTGAACCCAGGAGTTAGACCAGTTTGAGCAACATGGCAAACACCAGTCTCTACAAAATATCCAAAAATTAGCCAGATGTGTTGGCGTGCATCTGTAGTCTCAGCTACACAGGAGGCTGAGGTGGGAGGATCATTCGAGTCCAGGAGGTTGAGGCTGCAGTGAGCCATGAGTGTGCCACTGCACTCCAGCCTGGGTGACAGAGTGAGACCCTGTCTCCAAAAAAAAAAAGTGTCTAGAGAAAGCACACTGGCCACGTGAATCTGTTTAAGTTAGGATTAATGGGAAAATATGCATGGAATTCTTTGACCTCTGTGAATTGGAAGCTCTCTTTGTTTTACAGGGGGTAAAAAATAATAAAGGTGAGGAGGTGGTGTTGAATATGATCATGGTGAAGGAGATGATGGTACTCATGATGCCTGGGAGATGATGGTTCTTATCACTAACTGCTCTTTTTGCTGGAGCATGAAGGCCTGGTAACGCATGGTATCTGAAGGGCTTTCAGTGGACTGCAAACCAGTATTTCGTTTGCCACAAAATTTGTGTGTGTGTGTTAATAAACGTTGGCTAGGAGGATTCCTTAGGGCACGGAGTATATATACTGAAAAGAAATATTGAAAAATTAGAGAAATATTCCTATTGCTAATGACTTGGTCAACTGAGAGTGGGTATTATGCCTCATTTCTGTTTGTTATTAGGCATAACATGTTTTATTCCTTAGTGTAGAAAATATGAGCTTTTGATATCACTGCTTAGTATAATTGACTCTTCTGAGCCCTGTTTGAACTTAGTGATCCATCTTTTTTTCAAATTAGTAGGGACACAGGGTAATCTGAAGCTGTAACCGGTAAAACCTTCTGAATGCCTTCTGCGATAATGGATTAGGCTGTCATTTGTAGTATCTCTTATTTCTGTGATCATCTCAGTTTAGGATGCAAATTTAAACTCATTATTTAACTTTTAAGACATTTCTCCTTGCTTCTGACAGCCATAGGAAGCATGCCCATTTGATGCGTGCTGCCTTATTTGTTGAATTTAGCAAAAGTGCCCCCCCCACCCCCACTTATAAAAGACAAGATACTCAAGTGTCCGGCACTTACAGGGCCATCCATCTTCTTTGGCCCTTCCACCCACTGGGGCTGGGCCACAGGCACCCACGGTTCAGGCCTCTTCTCTGCTTTCTCTTTGTCATTATGCTGTTGTCAATTCTGCCGTTTATTCAGTGATTAATCATCATTTGGAAGGTTCTGCTGGGAGCCCACAGAAAGGAGCGTATTCCTGCAGGTGGTTTCCCTCTGATTAGTCAAAAGTGATAATGACTTGCTGCTGGGGCTTTGTCATAAGGAAGGGAAGATGGTAAATTCTTTTTCTTTTGTGGGAAGGCAATTGCATTTTATAAACCTGGAAAACAAACGTAATTGGACGAAGAACCTTAGAACGGGTCTTTTAAAAGTATTCCCTAGAGATACTGTTTTCAGTTAAAGCATGCTTGGAGTCACAACTTGCTTACACTATTACCTCAATTTCTTTTTTAAAATTTAGGGAAATAAGATGCACATTCATGCCAACTTAATGCCTAAAAATAACTCCGTGGAAGATGAGATATCTGATGGTTTATCAGTGCTTGCTGCTCACCGAAGTAATATATTCAATATTTTTACCTTTGACAGCTAAAAAGATGGATAATGTTGATATTTAACTTGGTGCAGTATTACTCTTTTATATTATTTACTTAGAAAAAATATCCTCTGACAACAAAGGTTTCAGTTATATGGTTTAAAGATGACTGCTTCTGTGGGAAAAAAAAGCATGTGGAAGGATGGGCAGCCTAGCAGATTTCCAAGGGAGTGTAGAAGGAGGGGGTGCCTTGTTTGTGGTGATGAAATGGTACCGGAGAAGGACATAAGTGGGTCTTTGGGTGACAGAGGAAAGGAAGAGCACTGGGGAGGATGGGAGGAGCAAAGTATGCTCGACAGCTGACTTCCAGCCCAACCAGTCTCACCACTGATTAGCATGTACAAGATTCCAAAGAAAGCAGGCAGGATTTCCAGAGCAAGGCAAGTAAGTCCTTCTGTGGAAAGAGAAAAAAATAATCTGACTATGAAAGTACGTGAATCTTCCTTTTTTTCTTTTTCTTTTTTCTTCTTTTTTTTTTTTGTTTGTTGGTTTGTTTGTTTTTTTCTTCTCAGTTGATCAGTGTGCAAAGGATAAAGGGACTCAGAGATAATTACTCATTTCAGTCTTTTCCTATGGGCAAAATTAGAGATCCTCAGTACCCCAAACCTGCTCTGTGGATATATTCATTATTTTCATTTTATCCTAATCAGCAGTTTCTCTCAACTGATAAGTGGACTAATCTCACTCTTGGGTTTAAGAGGTTGATGCCAGTTTGAGTGTCATCTATTCCACGTAGAGGCTTTTTGAATGGGCATCTAGGCCTAGAGCAATGGTTCTCACAGTGTGGTCTCTGGACCAATAGTGTTAGCATCACCTGGAAACTTGTGAGAAATGCACATTCCTCGGCCCTCCCACAAACCAACAGAAACTCTGGAGGGTGAGACCCATCAATCTAGTTTAACAAGCCCTCTAGGCAATTCTGGTGTACACTAAAGTTTGAAAATCACTGACCTAAATTTACCAAGCTATGACTTGGTAAGTAGTATTGGGGCATTTATCAGTCAATTGAGGTAGAAAGGCAATATGGAGAACAGGGCTTTTTGAGCCTCTCTTATCTTTCTTCCCAGGAGACCACCCACTCCACTTGTAACTAAAGCCATTCTACCCATGGAACCCAAGAGCAAATGCAAGAGCAAAAATAGCCTTAAGAATTTAATTAATCTAAGAATTTCAACTCAGGACAACTTGAAAACTGGAGCAGATGTGGGTTACCCTTCGTTTTCTAGAGTATAGGTTAGGCTTTCGGTTATCCTTCTGGAGTTGAACCACTGCCCTTTGGTAGTTGATTCTCCAAGGTCTGGGTGAGGGAGAAATGACTCTTTATCATTTTAAGATCTAGTCAGTAATTCATGCTTATAAAGAGCAAAAGAATATAGGAAAATTCTCAGTGGTTAGCAAACTCTCTCTCGAACCCAGCTTGTTTCAGGAGTAGAACCAAAGAACACATGATGGAAGAAAACAAGATCTTCAGAAAGTTAGGAACACGTTCAAAGCCTAATGTAGTACTAGGATCCTTGGTAGATTCCTACTGAATTGAAGGCCTTCTTTCTCTTATCTCAAGAGCCTGTTCGTAACATTTTATTCATACATTTGTCTCAACCTCTGTGAACCTAATTTTATTTTTGGTTGATATAGGGTCTTGCAGTAACAAGTTCTAGATGAGGTAATGAATTAACTACCCACAGTGTAAAAGAATGTTTGCCTTCATTTGTCCTAAAACGACCTCTTCTAAGTTTCAAGCATGCTTATCTGAAATCTTAACTCTTGGGTTTGGGTGTTGATGCTTCCGACCTTGTAGTCTCTTGGTGATTGTGCAAAGATGAGTCAGTAGCATTGATCAGTACTGCCACACCACAATAGGGAGGAAGCTCTCCAGGAGAGGAATTCAGCTGACTCGATGCCAGGGCTGGGCTAACCTCTGCTGG